CAAGTACAGATTCTATTTTTACACTCGGTCGCACGAGCTCTTCAAGCTAGTTAGTTTTAAAACAGATGTCAATTTTTAGTTTTTATATAATTAAATAAACTTAAATGTAATTCATTCAAAAATAAAAGTGTCATAAAGAAAAGAGGACTTTGACATTCAATAAGTTAATTCCACTCTGTTTATTTCCTTAATTCTTATTAAATGTAAATTTTAAAATGTTTTTTTTTTTTTATTTGAAACAGTTTTTGAAATATCGGTATACCATATCGGCAATCGACCGTTTTGGGTCGGTATTCATATGTCTAGGAGTGAATCGCTTATTAACTTAATTCGGCGCTATATTTCAGACGCTTGGGGAAAATACTTGGCTCTTCTTTCCTTTTTCGGTATATTTTATTGTATTGAGCGTGTTGACATTTTTACACATGAAAGTCGGCACCTAAAGGCAGACCTTGCCGTTCCGGTAGAATTAATACGTAACTGTTTAATTATAATTAACATAGCTTATTCAATAACAGCTGGTCGTCTTAACTTTTTTTTTTGGAAATTTGCGTATTTTTGCAACTGCTAAGCTTCAATGGGACTCAGAACTCGATTTTACATAAGGCCAGTATTGCACTATCAAATATCTTTGTCAAAGACATTTTATAAAAGGTATTTGATGAAACATTTTACAATGTTAATATTTAATATTTTGTAAAATCACACATATTACACTGTCAAATTCTTTGCCAAAATAAAGTCTTTGACAAAGAAATTTGATAGTGTAATACTGGCCTAAGATAAGCACATAATATTTAATCTAGGTAGGTGCACAGATTTTCATTCACAGGATCGTTTGCATGTTGGCAAAATCATAATGTGGGGCTATCGCGTGTTTGACTTTAATAAACATAACACAAGTAAAAATTAAAAACAAAAAAAAATAAGAAAGTTTGATGCTTTTTGGATTTACCTCATTAAGTAATTGATATCAGGTAGTAATTGTTAATTTTGAAGTTTAACTGGATATAATGTCATATTAAGAGAACGTCAACGGTTTTTTATAGAAGGAACTATCTGTTGAAAAAAATAAAGTGTTCTTAAATGGTTGTAGTTAAATATTTTAAATAGTGTGTTTTTTGCATCCGAGACGACCGGAAGAGATATATTTCCCGAAACGTTAACCAATTTTTTGTCCATTAGGCAAATTCGTTTTACTAGTAAACCAAGGCTGACAACTTGGTCTCGTCAACTGACAGCGGTATATTCAAAAACTATTTGTTTTGTAGATTTTTTTACACTGCAAGTGACGAAATAGCCATAGGACTTTTTTGAAAATTTTATGTATATTTTATACAAATTATAAGGAAAACCCTCTTATTTAATCAGTGTTAAAATATAATATAAAGCTGCTGCGTGGTTCGTTTTGTGTAAAGTCCGCTCATCAAAATATGTGTCAAAAAGGTTCGAACGCGGCTCTACAATATTAATGACCGCCTGAAATCCGATTACAAATCGACAATCGACGTAAAAAACGTCGAATTTTGAAGGCGCTAAGCCGGAAGAAGTCAGTTTAGTGAGCGGTGTGATTTACGATACAGTGTGGGGCCGGATAAATTTGTGTTAGAAAGCTATAATAGTGGTTATTTTTGTAATAAAAAGCTTATGGGGGTTTGCCATTTCGATAAAACACTGTTTACTTTTCGGTTTTTATAAATCCAGAAAAGCGGGAAATATTAAATAATACCAAGTTACTTATTTTATATCTAAAATATATTTGTTTTTTTTTGGATTTAATATATTTTTTATCCGAAAATATTTGTTATTTGTACTTTCTGTTTTTTTTCATGATAATTTTTGCATATTATTGTTTTTCGTTGAACAAAAGAATCTGTATTAAGTTCTAGATTTCGTGCCTTTCTTTCTATAAACTTATGTCAGTTACAGAACTAATGAGTCGTCTAGATAAATTTCTACAGTATTGTATTGATGCTGCTTATAATTAGTGATGAACAAGACTCGCTTGGTCTCGGACTTGGTCTTTCTTTTGGTCTTACTATAAGACTCTTGCAAGTCTTGCTATTTTTAATGGGTTTTTACTAAAGGTACTTTTCTGCATAGAAAATCATAAAATATTAAAAAATTTAATGCAAGTGAAATTTTTTCAAGAAAAAACAAGTAGTTTTTCAAAGGAACCCTTATCAGGAAGATTCCTATTTGGTTATCTTTGAGCATAAGCCCTTGAGGCCAAGAAGCAATTTTCCTCACAAAATAAAATCACTAGTAACATATCTATTCGTTCCGCCAGCAGATACTGCTTTATTTTTCATGATTAAATAATGAATACTTACTTATTAAACAATTGTAAATAAGCCCATAAACTAATCTGGATTTTGAAAATAGCTACTAACTGTCACTGGAAACTTGCCATGACGACACTAGCCCCCCTGGTTGCCATTTTATTGAAAAATTGCTCTTTTTCAAAATCTGACCTAGATAGGAATAGGAAACCCTAATATAGTTTGAAAGAGCATTTGAATCTGCTTCGAATTATTTAAAAAATACAGGGTGTTGCATTTGAAATAATGAAGTTTTTATATAAAATATATCCTTAAAATAGATCAGCCAAACCAAACCAAACCAAACCATTTTTCAGTAAAGTTTATTTCTCTACCTTTAAACTCAGCATAAGAATTAATTCTGAAAAGTAATGTACCGGGTGTTAATAATCTATTCTATTGTAGCATGCAAATTTAAATATCTTTAAAAATCTCAAAAACCAAACATTTTAAACATATTTAACCCAATAAATGCCTTTTTCTGACCCAAGAATCCAAAAATGAAATAAAATACCGGGTGTTCCATAAAAAAATATAACTTTGGTATGGATCTTAGTTCTGAAACACCCTGTACATTTCAAAATAATTTTAAATTGTGTACATTGTCTCCTCACATATATGTACCCATAAAATATTTTGTTTCTACATCCTTCTGTTTTTGTATAACTAACCGAGGCGAATGAGGTGCGCCACAAAGGTTACTATATTAAAGGTTGCCTCGTAACTTTTGGACCAATAGGAGCGAAGCTCCAACTACGTCAGAGGGATGCTAAAGAACGTATAAAATCATAGGATATGGGAATAAAAAATAAAATGCAACTGACAAAGAGAGATAAATGGATAATGCAATAAAGAAAACACACATCAAACAACTGAAAACTATGGACGCCATACACTACAAACAATAAAGTATACCACGAATATCGATTCGGAAATGCACTATCGGACTGTCGCGTCGGCAGTTTATATTATAAATTTCTTCGAGTATCTTAGACGGTTGGAGGGTTGCCATTCCTGATTACGGATGGAGTCTTCCAGGTTCTTAAGTTTCCTTTTAAGTTGGTTTCCACTTGGGAAGTAAAACGGTTCTGGTTCTGTGAGTGTTTGCTCCTTTTTTTAGCTAGATTGCGAGAAATGATCTTGACTAAATATGTTTTAACATAAAACGACAATCCATCGATCAACGTCGATCAGCCTATCTGTAACTAAATGTGCCTAAACCTGTCTTAAACCTCGCGACTGATCAGTGTGTTGTAGTCTATTTAATTTCCATTGAGGCATCACATCAAAGAACAGTCTTCCTCAAAATCGTTTTAGACTAAAACTGTTTTATTCTTTCGCTGTGCGCCCAGCTTTAGGTTATAGAATCTCCATTAATCTCCAACTGATCGAAATCTTCTTGTTTTAGATAGAGTGGCATTCAAGACTTAATGATGATGGCGTTCCATCCGTGTGCTTCCTAGGTATATCCGTTTTATATTTTGTTTAAACTTCAGAAGTAAAATATGCTTCGTTTCGGAGATACAGATATAGTAAATATTAGATAGGATGTAAATAAAAAATGGAAAAAATTGCAAGACTGCAAGATTATTGCATGCTTGTCTTGGTCTTGCGTCAGTCTTGCATTGTCGGTCTTGGTCTTGCACAAAAAGCAAGACCAATCTCGTTCATTACTAGTTATATTACTTTTTGGCTAATTAATGAGCAATTTGGATTAATTTCTAGATAGGCGCTCGTGCTGTCTCGAAGGATGTGGTAATTTTAGGTGAACTAATGAAATATCTGGATTAATTTCTAGATTTATGCTCGTGCTACCTACAAAAACATGTGATTTATACACAAAAAATTAATACTGCCTATTAGAGTGTTCAATTTTTAAAAAAGTATATTGTATTATTACGGTAAATATTTGCTTTATAAATAGCATATTAAAGGCCGAAATATTGTTTTCAGATTGTGAGGTTGCATACATCAATATTTAAATTAAGACCGCCAACCTTTAATTCAGCACGGACTATTTATGTTTTACATTTATTGGTGTCTGAATTTTAATTATAATTATCACAACAAAATTTTCGAATGTTCAACATTCAGACAAGTTAACGAGGGTTTATTAGTAGCTATACCGAATGATTTCTTGTAGTACATCGATAAAACATATTATAAGAATGTAGAAATGTCAATATATTATTATTAATGCTTAGTTTTCCACATACCTAACAGTAGAAATAAGTTTAAACATATCTGTTACAATGCACATAGCTCTAAAGATGTTTTTTTTCGATAATATTGATGGACACATTGTAGGCTACAGGCAACCATTTTTATTGATACTATTAGTGTGCTATTAGGGACTACAAAAACCAGTGCCGTAAATTCAAATAGCCCCTCAAATAGGACTTATGACCGAGAAAAATCAAACATTTTCCTTGATTTAAGTAAGAACAATATACGGACTGTCACAGGATTTTTAACAGGACACTGTCTCCTCAACGAACACCTCAGTAGATTGAAGCTAAGAAACAACGGCGACTGCAGATTCTAGAAGGGTAGATTCTAGGGGATTCTAGAAGAATATCTTAAATATTCTTTAAACATATAAAAAAAAAATACAAATTTATTTCGTGTGAGTACAATAGATATGAGCATAGTTGGTACAGTACGATAAAATCGCAATCTTTATATATCATCGGAACCTGCCACACAAACTTTGTTGTTATTTTTTAGAATGAACACTTTCCCATTTACGGTCCAAACATTTGTGACACCATATTTATTGATGGCTTCCTTAACAAGTTTAATCCTGTTCCCAGTTAAATCTTCACGTATGACAAAACCAGTTTTCTTTAAGAGTCTCTTATTTTGATAAACCTCAGATCTTACCAAGAAGGAGACGAACCTCACCAATACTGGACGATCCCCAGCCATTCCGGTTCCGGAAACGCCGACTCTGTGACACCTATCAAAATCCTCCTTTGTTACAGTAATATTCAGCTTATTTTTGAGCAACGAAGTGACAGTTTTTAGCAAAACTTCCTGGTTTTCGCCTGGAGACTCTTTGATGCCGTATATTCTGAGGTTGTTAAGTCTATCATATTGTTCATTTTTATCGACCTTATTTTCTATAGTTCTAATAGCTTCACTATTGTTATTTACTTGATTCATAAAGCTACCCAGTTTATCGTCCATCTTAGCCAGACGATCATCCAGCCTCTGGAAAATGTGGTCGGCTATCCTGGTAACCAACTCATCAGGAAAATTATCATTATTCTTAGTGGATTGACTTCTACCTCTAGCCATTTTATCCAATTTTATCGTCGTGGTAGGACTATATCGAGTAATTTAGTTAATTGAATAGGTACTTGTAACCCAAACTTAAAACTTAAAAGTTTTATGCACCAAAACTCACTGAGGGTACTGTATAATAATGGTTGACCAAAAATTCACCAACAATTCTGCCGATTTACCACCAAAGACACCGAAAACTTAGGGAGTAAACAAAACACGCGTGTTTAGAGGCCGGACATTTTGAATGTCTTTATCATTTTGAATCTTATTTTTATTTCTTTATTCTTTGACATTGAAAACATTTATAAATGTTTATTTTAAACAATAAGACTGACAATGTAATTTGTAAAATATTTTGTATTCTCTTTTGTTTGTTTGTTTACTTTACCTTTGAAAAATTGTAAACAATTTTGACAATAAAGGCATTTATTTATAATAGATTTATGAGGTCACGGTGATTAACATCTCCCATACAATCTACAATCAATAAAATGAATTTCGTCCACTGAAGAAGATAAAACGGAGATAAAATGATATACAGGATGAATTTCTGATTTAGACAAATATAAAATAATATAAATTCAATATAATTTTAATAACTTGCTGCAATTCACTTAAATTTCACTTTCCCCAGCAAATAATTTTTTTTAAATTATTTATCATCTATAAATATAGATATGAATATAACATACTTTTGACGTTTTGGTGGATATTATAACAATTAATTACATTTTGTAACTATCTATATTAGAATTTAAAATTAGATTATTAGAAAAGTTAAATTTTGGTCACAGACGTTGCTGCTGTCAAGTTTTATAATACCTGAATTTTAATTAACTTGTTATGAAATAAATTTTGAAAGCCAATATTTCACAGAAAGTTATGGAAATTGTATTTAATTTTTATACTTTTTAGGCATAAAGGAAGTGTACTAATTTTTATTGATTTTAACATTTTTTTTGGAGATTTTTATAGCTCATAATAATATGTTCACATATCTCATAAACTCTGCTATATTATACCGAGTCTTTTTCAAAATTGGTTTACCCATATAACTTTTTTATTTTTTCAAACAAAACACGATATTTTTTACTTTGTTCGATAGAAAATGACATTCTGAATAGACATCTCATACGTCAATTTTTTACATTTTCTCTTCTTCAATCTAGAGTGCCATTGTTTTTAATAAGAATTTTACTATATAGTATGTGGTTCCAAACTATTCGTAAAAAAGGTTTTTCCTAATATGCCAATAAGCCACCCTCGTTCCATTTGAATTAGTAAAAATACGATTTGGGTATCTTTTAACCGACCAGGAAAAGTCACGACAAATATTAGACGATCTATTTTTTCAAGGCTGCTTAATTACAAATTAGTATTTTTATCACAGCCATGGCACTTTAGATTAAAATTTAAAATATTTTTTTTGAGCGAAAATGTAAAACATTGACCTGTAATATGTCATTCTATTTAGAATATAATTTTCTATCAAATATATTTATTTTTATTTATTTATAAAAAATAAATAGATATCAAATAAAGTAAAAATATACCGAGTGTACTATTTGAAAATCGAAACTAATTGAATACGTCAATCAATCCTGATTTATGTCATATACTAACATACCAAATCCCGTTTTTTATCTGAAAAAGTAAACAAGTTATAGGGGTGAGCCAGTTTCTAAAAATACCCGGTATAAAAGCTACAAGTATTTTTTTATAAATTATACAGGGTATTTCGAAAATAAAACAACACTAAACTTAATTACACACCTTTATTGGCATAAATATACATTTATTTTTAATACAGTATAAGGAAATATTCACATTTAATAAATAATTTTATAAATACTTTTTTGATATTATTGTCAAAAATGTTTATACATTTCATTTATTGTCGGGGTAGTCCCAGTGATATAAAGCTATTACACACAGATATTATTTTATATTAAAGTAGGATAAACTATATTGTCACCACACAGCTATATATCATATAATATGTATTGTCGTGATATAAGAATATTGTTCCAGCCCATTTGGAATGTTTACATATTCATAAAAAGTATTTTTGAATATTTAGAATGGTTTCGATATATCTCTAAATATATTTATATATAGATTTTAGAAAAATTCTTCCATTTTTAATGTATTAATTTTTGAAACATTTAAAACATTCATGTGGTTCTTTTTGCACTTTAACTTGAGGATATCTATAGCTACACCTGGTCTTTACATATACCAATTAGCCATACTTTATATAGTCACTATAATCTAGATCAATATGTTTCAGACGATATTCTTGATCGAGTTTTAAACTAATTTATAAAGTTTAAATGATATGAAAGCAGATTGTTTAAGGGGATTGTTGTCTGGTTAGAAAGATATGTACCGATGGCTTTGATATAAAGTCAGTTAATTATTTCCAACAAAGAAATTAAATTACGGAGCACAATTAAGTTTGCTTCAAGATTTTAAGCTTAATTAATTTTTGCTTCAAGCTCAGATAATTGGCTTACCAATGTAATCTCAGTAATCTTGAAGTTATACACGACATATAATCCTGTATATAATAAAATAAATTGTATAATTGTAAATTAAATAAATATTTAAAAAAAAGAGCGATAGCTTTAGAATAACAGTAAGATGATTTAACAGTTATAATAAAAAAGTATGAAAAATACATTTTTATTTTCATAACACTGTTGGATATGATGGTCATTTTATATATTATTTTAAGCTATATTCGCTTTGTGATTTTTTTATATAACTCTTTAAAATATTACATTTTAAATCAGTTTAAGTGGCATTTGTTATGTAATTCATAACTTTTTAGATTGTCTTAAAATATTCGTTATTGTAGTTTTCTTTTCAGTGTCATTCATTCTTACTATTATTCTTACGCTGCCCTGCAATTTACAGAAAATAAAAAATGAACTTATTGAACGATCATTCGAGGATGTCTAAATACTTTTTTTAATAATATATTGTCAACGGCGGGTTGTAGAAGATAGCGTTTCGAGTCTAGTGGTATCGACGGGATTTTGGTATAGCTGTAGTCCTTGGTTTTTCCCATCTGTGGAATTCTCCCTATAAATTAAACAAATAAAATATGTTAAAATATATTATTATATACATATTGAATATAAATACTACCAGTATTGATACGAATACATAAAACTAATACTACACAATCAAATTTACATCTAATATTACACATTACAGAAATTTAGCTAATATTAATATTCTACAAACATACTAAAAAGAACATACGTTAGATAGACACAATTATACTTTACTTCATTCGATAAAATTCTTTAAAAATAGACTCTTATACAATATGATCGAAAATAAAACGGCGTCAGCGGTGGCTATGAAATGAAGATAACTGTCATTTTATATGTAAAATTATAGAGGGAATGTGTGACATGGATGTTCATTTTTAAGCTAACTAGACGCCGTTTTCTTTCGAGCAATTTTCGAGCATACGGTATATAATAGATTTATAAAATAGCATCTATAAATTACAACTTTGTTTTTTATTTTTATAATTTACTATTGCTGCCAATTCCAATGTCTATACCTACTATCTACTAAGAGCTGGCAAAGGTTAGTCTTGGGTCGAGATTTTCGTATGTAAGAAGAGTACAATGCGTTTATAATGTACTGAACAAAGAGAAAACAGTAAACACGTTGCCAAACGTATGAAATGAATCGAGAAACTGTGCACTGTGCACATTGCTAAGAGACGTGGAAGGGGATATAGCAGATTTGTCAGAAGTGTCTTGTCCTAGCAGTCAACTATTAAACTTGACCAATCAGGTTGGTTAGCGTGGTTATTTGGAGTGTGTTAATTCATTTCTGTTTGTCAAAAACTCTAACGTGATTGGTCGGGCTTAACAGTTGCCTGCTAGGGCTAGACACAAGTGATTTGTCGCAGTTAACCGGTCGACCCAATCAGTACCTCTGTCAGTACTTAAAGTTCTAGGGAAAGGTCTACATCATGCGTTCAGCTTCACGATTTAATTACGTCTCGTGATACTTTATTTGTTTATTTATTAACGAGTCGTTGTAATTTTCCCTACAGCTTGAACATTTTTAAGTGCAAGCTAGAAACACTTGCATTTTTGGTAAAAATAAGTGGAACTGAGTTGGTTTTGGTCGGGCTATTAGAACTCTGAATTCAAAAATCGATATCTCGAAATCTATTAGAAATAATTAATTGTAGTTTTTTCAAAAACTTTCTTAATATTTCTGTTGTATTTTCTTCGTAGACAGTAAGTGAAAATCTTTATCAATAAAAAAAATTACACGACTGCTGAAAATTGCTATGTAAAACTGCTGAAAATTTCTTCTAAAAGTAAATAGATGGGTTGTTTGCAATTTTTGAATGGAAAAAAACAACCTTATCGAATTTGTCTTATGTAAATATATTGTAAAAGATCCTATCTCCAAAATAAAAAAAAAAGTTTCAATATCTAAAGCGTTTCTTGAGTTATGGCGTGTTATGTGTTAAAAAGTTGAGTTTTTAAATTATTGCGATTACTGACGTTTTCTCGTTATAAAAAAATGACACCCTAACGATATCCTTATAACTCCATTTCAGATGTTCAGAAACATTTCTAATGATTTTATCTAGTTATCTTTTCGAAAAAAAGTCTATTAAAAATAAGCGGTTTGCGATCGTGATTTTATTTTACTTGATAGGGAAAGGCGTACTGGCAACGCCGCAACAGCACTCCGTCGCATTTCTCTCACTCCGACTTAATAAGATCTCTATGTGATTTACTTCCAAACATGTAAATACCGACCCAAGAGTAACAGTTGCCAGCACGGTATAGCTAATAACTGTCTACAGCTAAGTATCTATTGTTTTTGAAATTGATCAAACTTTTGCTAGCAAATGTTTTTGGTAAACATTTATTGTAACAGTAAACACATAATAAAATAACCATCAGTGATATACAGGGTGTCAAAAAATAGTGTATCTAACTTCGGTGGAAGATTCTACAGATAAAAAAAAAACAAAAAGTTCCTACAAATATATGGCCTAAAATGTTCCCGATGAAGTTACAACCTTTGAAAGGGTAAAAAATAAAATATAATATTTTTAAGAATATTCGTAAACTATTTTTCTTGAAATTTGGTACTCTTAGGGCACTCGATGCGATGCTCGCCAGGATGGTAGCCGCGATGCATCCTACGCGCACTGTTTTAAAACGGCGAATAGGTGCGCGTAGGCATACTGAAACATTTACCATCGCCGTTTTATTAAGCATCAGTTTAGGTAATAGTAGTTATTAATTAGTATAGGCTTGGTGCATTTCAATTGATTTCAACAAATTCCTACCGCAGCGAGTCAATGGCAAAAATCAAAAATTATTCCTATCTATTTCACGTCGCCGTCATGTTGATCGCATAGAATAATATTGAAATCGTGGTTTTTTTGTTATAATATATAAGTATTTTAGATTTTTGCTAGCGCAGTTATTGAGAGATAAAACACTCAGGTACCAGGTTTGTATGATGTAACGCTATTTCGGGTAGTAAAAAATAAATGAAAAAGAATTCGAACTAGGCGTCGGCGTCGTGCTGTGTTGTGACAATGTCAAATGTTAATAAAATTGCCGAAAAAATGTTAACGCATAAAGGAGAGCGCAATTAGGGCGTTGTTGGGTGCAATTACATTCAATAACTCAACTTTCCCGGATATTCAACTCTCCTGAAACAAAATTTTATAGCTTCATAGTTTCTCACACCGATTTGATCAAAAGCAAAAATGGTTTCAAGCAGTTCGACGAAACAAGTGAGTAAACAAAGTGCTCGTTACATAATCAAAAAATTAAAAAGACATACTATGAGAGGATAAAATATAATTTGCAATATTAATGGTATACTTTTTTTAATCAACTAGTGATTAAAGTACTTGCTATAAATAAATAGTCCATAAAGTAATTTCTATTTTGAAAATAGCTACTGTCACTAGAAACCTGCCATGACGACATCAGCCCTCTTTGTTGCCATTTTATTAAAAAATTGCTCTTTATTCAAAATCTGAGCTAGATAGGTATAGGACACCCTAATATATGTAGTTTGAAGGAGCATTTGAATCTGTTTCGATTTATTTAAAAAAATAGGTTGTATTTAAAATAACAAAGTTTTTATGTAAAATAAATATTTAAAATAAATCATCAATTTTTGGTACCCCTGTATAAATTTAAGGCAGCAATACAATTTTTCAGTAAAGTTTATTTCTCTATCTTTAAACTCAGCACAAGAATTAATTCTAAAAAGTAATGTACAGGGTGTTGATAATCTATTCCATTGTAGCATGCATATTTAAATATCTTTAAATATCTCAAAAACCAAAGCTTGTAAGCATATTAATATATATAATAACCCTTATAATTCATGCCTTATTTTGTGTCCAGGGATCCAAATAAGAAATAAAATATCGGGTGTTCCATAAGAAAAAATATAATTATGGTGTAAATCTTAGTTCTGACATACCCTGTACATTTCAAAATAATTTTAAATTATGCACATGGTCTTCCCACATATGCCCATAAAATATTTTCTTTCTACATATTTCCGTTTTCGTATAATCAACCGACGCGAATGAGTTGCGCCACCCCGTATATAGGTGTTCCATTTAAAAAAATATTCGCGATCCACTAACACTTTTTTGAGCCACCCTTTAGAAGTTCAAATATTTTCCTCAAATACATCCTAATACATACTTTATGTCTGGACTACAAAATTCATAAGTTTTTTATTATTAGAACTACAGATGCCCGACGCTCTATTGCCGGACCCTGTAGAATCAAGGTTATTACATTGTTGATGATAAATTAAATATTAGTATTGTGAACATTTTATTCTACCCGACTCTAGTTCGACATATGCTCAACAAATTGTGATCCTGAACCGACCAATCAAATGTAAAGTCTCAGGCATCCGCGTCCGCTTCTCGCAAAAAACAAAAATTTTGTTTTTTGGGAAGCATCGCGCTGAACATCTAGGTGCGTGGCGAGGTGCGAGGCTCCAGTATGTTTTGACGCATAAATTTATATATGTTTGATTCAGCATCGCCGGATGGCGGGGTGAATGGCGCGCATCGCATCAAGATGAAATGCCCCGCACTATGTTTGTACGATAGTCGCGATGGCATCCTACGCGCACTTACTCGCCGGTTTAAAACAGTGCGCGTAGGATGCATCGCGGCCAGCATCTTGGCGAGCATCGCATCGAGATGCCTCACTATGTTATATGCGCCCTTACACACATTTTAATGTCAAAGCGAATATTGATAGTGTGAAATCTTGTAACAGATTCCATTAGGATATAGAGTACTACTGGTGGTACTTCTTTTATCTCTATAGATACACTAATTTTAATACAAAGCATAAAAAATTAAATGATAAAATGTAAAGAAATTGTAAATAAATTTATCTCTGATTTTATTAATACTAAAATCGATGCTTCCTAACCTTCAAACGCTAATACCTTCAAAACCGTTGACCGCTAAAAGAAGATCACTTTTTACGTAAAAAACTAGCTTTTTATGTCATTTGTTGAAATTACCTGTATCTATAAGGATAAAAGGAGTACCACCAGTAGTACTGTCTTACCCTTTAGAGCTCTCACGGAATTTTACACTATCGCCATTCACTTTAGAATTAAAATATTGTAAGAGTACTAAATTTCAAGAAAAACAATATTCTTAAAATAAACAAAATATATTAATTTTATTTACCTTTCGAGGGCTGTAAGTTCCTCGCGAAGCATTTTAGGGCATATGTTCATAGGAACTTTTTGTTTTATTTTTATCTGTAAAGTTACTTACCGAAGTTAGATACACTATTTATTTGACACCCTGTATATTATTAATTGAATTTACTATAAAATGTTTTAAAGAAACTAGGGTGTTTAAAGTTAATGTATAATTATGTATTGTTAGTGGTGGAGCTAACCATATATTACAAATGAAATAATAAATATTCATGAACGATACAATACTGTTAAATTAGAATGCCAGCAAGACCGGTTTTTATATATCCACAATAGAATTTTGATTGTATTATGATGAG